GGCCGTCGCTCCCGCCTCGTCGCGCCTCCTGCGCGGCAGCTGCAGCTGGCGCCGAATCTCGGCCTCGCGTAGGACATCGAACGGGTCCGATTCATCGTCCAGCAGCTGGTGAAAGCGGTTGGCCACAACGCAGCCGAAGGTCTCCTGCATGGTGGCGCCGCCCAGGCCGCCCTTCATGCTCGGCGCGGCACTGCGGGCCGCCTGAGAGCCCACAAGAGAGCGCCTCAGCGGAGACAGCGGATAGAAGCCACCCCGCCCTCCGCAGCAGCTCTCCGGCCTTCACCTACCTGTCCCGCCCCCACCGCGCTACGGCCAATCAGAGAGCGGGACACGCCCCTTTCCGGGCTGGCTCGCCGAGGTGTCCAATCACCGGCCTGCGGCCTTTGCGTCACGCGGCCTCCTGTTCCTCCCCTACGGAGCGCCTGGAGGGCGGGACCAGCGCCCGGAGCTGCAGTAGCTCAGTCTAGGTTCGGACTGCTTGTGGTCCAGGCTAAGAGGAAAGCTTCTGACTCTCTGCGGTGTGGGCCACTCACACATTGAGCACTGACTGTGCCGGGCATTGTATAGAAGGAGACCGGAGCTCCATGTGTTGCTGTGAGTTCTGGGCGCCGGACCCAACCGAATTGCGAAGCTCAGAAAGGTCTGAGGCAGAAGGGTGGAGAATGGAGCGCAGCCCACGAGCTCCGGAGCAGGGTACCTGGAATGCCAAGAGTTGGGAAAGGCCTGACTTTCGTCCTTATTCTAGGAGCAAGGGAAAGCAGGCTTTAAATCTGAGCAGATTTGTATTTGAAAAGGCCACTCTAGCTGTATTGTGAAGGGATAGTTTGGAGGGGGAGGTCACAATAGATGCGAGGAGACGGGCGTGGTGGTGCGTGCCTGTAACCCCAGCACTCTGGGAGGCTCAGGCAAGATCTGTAGTTGGAGCAACTTAGGGGAGACTGTCTCAAAAGTTTTAAAAGGGCTGAGAATGCTGGTCAGTGCAATGGCCCTGGGTTCAATCTACAGTACCAGTAAATAAATAGAGCAAGTAAGTATGGAGACCATACGCAAGATTGTTGCAGAAGTCTAGGAAAGAACCGATGATAGAGAGTTGCACTAGGGTAGTGGCAGTGGAGGTGAAAGGGGTGAGTAAATTCAAGGGCTGTTTTGGAGGTTGTATCAGCAGGGCTTGGCAGGGTACTAGGATCATCTGTATGGGTGATGAAGAAGGAAGACGGTGCGAAATCTCATTTTTCTAGTTTGGGCATGTAAGAATGGGAGTGCTAGCCACCAAGAGATGGAACCTGGGAAGAGATTACTTTAATGAGACCATGAGGTCAACCTTGAACATGTTGAGAATTGGGTTTAGATTGTTTTTGGTTTTCTTTTGCAATGATCAGTTAAGGCCTGGAGCTCAGAGGGGACTGCCTCCAGCAAATAGTGCCATGGACTGGACGGTGTTGAGATCCTAGGGCTGCCTATCCTACAACCACTCTTTTATTTTCATTTTACTAAGGAATTGGCTGCTATAGGCCCCAGACTAAGTGGAGCCCCTTTTCAACTTCAACCTTAATTACGAAAACCGGTGATCCTGTTGCTGTCGTTGCCTTTGTTTTTGTTTTTGTTTTTTTGAGACAAGGTCTCTCTAAGTTCAGGCTGGCCTCCAACTCAAGGCAGTCCTCCTGCCTCAGCCTCCTGCGTGCTGAGATTACGGGCATGCACCACCATGCCTGGCATGGCATACCTAGCCTGGTAAGGCAGTTTCTCACTCTCTCTCTGTCTCTCTCTCTCTTTTTATTTGCTGTGTAGTTCAGGCTGAACTTGAACTTATTATGTAGCCTAGGCTGGCTACTTGCAGCAATTCTTCTGCCTCAGCCTCCCAAGTGCTGGGATTACATGTATACCCCCAACTTGGCTCAACCTTAATTAATCTGAAGTCATTTATTGTAATTCCATTTTCTTGCCAGGAATTGCTGAGGAGTAGGTTGTGTTACAAACCTGGCAGAACAGGCTGGAGGGGAAGCATTCTGGGGAAGGTCTTACTCCTCGAAGGGATCTGAGAGGGAAGCTCCCTATTCTTCCTAGCTTCAGTGCTTTGGTTCTTCTTATGTGAGAAGAATGTGATGCCTGGTGTTGCTGTTCTTTATTGTGACCATAAGGACAGAGAAAACCTAGGTCTGTGATGTTGAGCTGTATCCCTGCCTCAAGTTGTATTCTTTGTTTGTTTGTGTTTTTGAGACAGGGTCTCACTATGTAGTTGAGACTGACCTGGAACTCACTATGTAGTCCAGGTTGATCTCAAACTCACAGAGATAGTGCTGGGGTTACAGGCATGCTTCACCACTCCCCAGCCTCAAGTTGTATTATTATATAAGGTGATAAAAGCCATTATTGCTTAAGCCACCCCTAGTTTTGTTTTGTTTTTTTGTCCCATCCAGAAGCATCTTGTTAGAGCACCTTGCTTAAGTGCCTTATGACTGGTTTTGAATTTCCTTTAATATTAAATGAAAAAGGAATTTTTACTCCTTAGGGCTGCAAGATCCTGTCTCATTCATTGCAATATGAATTCCCAGGGCTTGGTGTTCAGACAACCAGCTGTGCAGAAGGTACTCAGTAAATATTTTTGTTGAGTGACCAAATATTTTCAGGTATAGTAAGTCCCTGACTTAGGAACATTTGCGGTTTGAACTTTCACAGGTATACTGTACAAGATTTACAGTTATACTATATAAGACACACTGTTGGATTACCAATGAATCTGACTTACAAACATTCTCCTGGAATGGAACTTCTTCTGAGGTTGGAGATTTATTGTATTTTATTTGGTAATTTCCTGCTTTGAATCAACAGAGATTAATGCCTATACTTTCTGTCCCCTCAAAATGGAAAGCAGGTATTTGAACAAAAACTTGTACTGTTCACAAAGATACTTTTCACAATAGCCAAAAGGTTGCAACAACTTAAATGTATATTAACTGATGAATGAATAAATAAAATGTGGTACAGCAGATTATTATTTGGCCTTCAAAAGGAATGAAGTATTGATACATGTTGTAACATAGATGAACCTTGAAATTGTGCTAACTGAAAGAAGCCAGAGGCAAAAGGCCACATGTGGTCTGATTCCATGTATATGAAATGTCTGGAATAGGCAATTCCATAAGAGAAAGTGCATTAGTGGGTGCTGGGGTAGGGTAGGGGATATTGGTGAGAACTCAATGGTTATGGAGTTTCCTTTTGGAGTAATTAAAATGTTCTGAATATAGTGGTAATAATTGCACAAAATTGTGAATTTAGCCAGGTGTAATCCCAGCACTTGGGAGGCTGAGGCAGGAGGATTGCTGTGAGTTCGAGACCAGCCTGGGCTACACAGTGAGTTCCTGATCAGTCTTATTATATAGTGAGACCCTGTCTCACCCCCCCCCAATTGTGAATTTAGGGTTAGGGTCAGACCCAGGATTTGAGTCCTGACTCTGCCACTTATTAACTTTTTGAACTTGGACATGCTCCTTATTTCTGTGCCTCAGTCTTCTATCTGTAAAATGGAGAAAACATAGTCTCTAACTCTGAGAGTTACCATGAGGACTGAATAAGATAATGTGTAGGAAGTGTTTGCCACAGTACCTGCCCTAGTGTAAATCCTCAATAAAAATCATTGTGGTTTTGTGTCATCATCATTTGGAATCAGACATAATAGACAATAGACTTATGTTTTGACACTTCAAAAATTGTTTTATGCCTCAGCATCTCCATGTGCAGCAGAGATCACACTTTCAGAAGCAGCCTTCAAGCCAGTGTTGTTTTTGGAGTCTTTAAGCTGCTTATCACCAAATTACAACATCATGAAAACATCTGCTCTTGAGAGAAGACCTCTTCCCACTGGACATCTGGAATCAGCTACTTCCTATTGTCTTCCTAGCATAGCCAACCACTGTCAGCTCTGAAAGCATCTGTGAGCACAGTATCCTCATTTCCAAATCACAGATGCCCAGAACAATTGTGAGCCAGTTCTGGTTGATCCTATATAGAAGCCCTGAAAGAAAAGTAAGTACAGAGGTCTCTAGCTGGAATTACCGGGCCATAGGTTTCTGAAGGAGCTGTTGGTCACTGCAGACCTTACAGTAGCATATGAAGCAGCCTGTTTTTCACTGGCCATGTTCCTGCTTGGAGATTTGCAGGCTTAAATGCATTTCTGATGTACAGCCCTACCACTTTAGCATGAGTTATTTGAAACACTTGTGTTTAATGTGGTCACCTGATATAATAATCAAAGAGGTGAAAACATCCTTTAGTAATATAATATAAAAAAGAACATACGTAGAAAAATAAAGTACCGCATAAAGGCAATGAAGTGTGTGGATGCTGAATAAAACCATATTATGTGTAAGATCCAGTGATTGTTTACTCCCACCGATGGAAAAAGCAGCAAAGTTTAACTGCATACAAAATGTAATTAATTTGAGTTAATAGAGAAGTTCCATGAACAATAAAATAAAAAACAGTGAAATCTTCCAAGTTGACTTTGAACAAATTAACCCAGAGGTTTAACAACATGTAATTTTATTATTTTCAGTTGCATGGAGAAATACCTAGGTGAAGGCCAAGCAGGAGTGGCTAGACCTCTTTAGCACCTTTCAGTCAGTAAGTATTTGCTGTTTGGATGAATGAATTTTTTGTTTGCATACATGTGTTTGTGGCAAATAATTTTGCATGTGCTAAAAGTGAAGTAAAACTGTAGCAAATTAATAAGCCAGAAGCTGAGAAATACGATCAAATGCTTCATTAATAATCACAACCGAATCATATATGGTGCTTATGAGATGCCAAACATTGTTCTAGACATTAGTTCATTTAATCCATATGCCAGCCTGATGATGTAGATGCTTTCCTTGTCCTGTGTTCCCGTGGCCTGAGTGCTTCTGTGAGCAGGATAGCTGGGTTCATGGGTGTTAGCAATCTGCCTTGACTGTGATCTCCTAATTATGCATTATTGCTAAGCATTGAGCTAAAAGCTCAGATTTGAGTGGGACATAGTCTCTTTCCTTAAAGACTGGTGCAACCAAAAGACAAATATTATCAGAACAGTCCTAAAGTGTGTAGACCACTTATTACTTCAAAATTGTATGGGAATACTGAGACTCTACTGGGGACCTATGATATACTTAGATCCTTCAAAACATTGCATGGCGGTGTAAGACTTGAATAAACTAAAGTGACTCCATGCTAATAGGCCAGACTGTGCTTCTTCATATGCTAATTGCTACCTTGGTTAACAGCCCGCCCAGGGGCAAATGGTTTGGCAAAAGGTGACCTTAGAACTTTTCCTGCATAAGATAAGCAATGTGTTTGCAGTCTTGTTCTGTGAATTCCCTGACTCTTTGTTTAGAAAAACCTTATAAAAAGTACCTCAGCCCCTGAGCAGTTGCCTCTCTGAGCTACCTGTCTTCGGGAGTGCCGTCTGGCCAGACAAATAAAGACTATTTACCATCTAGCCCGGTGTGTTCCTTCCTGGGTTTCTCGTTTCTCCGTCGAGCTCCCAGAGCCTCGCTGGGTGTTAGGGCCCAACATCGTGGAGACCTTTTTGGCTGTTCACGCTCCGTGGAGTGGAAGTGAGACTTTAAGTCTTACAGCGGGACAAAAGCTGTATTGTGTCCATGCTAAACCTGTACTAAAATGTTGAAATAGGACTGCCCTTCTGCTTATATTTCACAATGTATTCAAAATAAGCAAACATCTTTATTCTCTTAAGGATGGTCTGTGAACCATGGTCACTCCTACCATGGTTAGCTCCTACTTCCCCTGAGAGCTTGTTAGAAATGCAGAATTTCAGACTCACCTCAGAGCCCCTGAATCAGAACCTACACATTACAACACCCCTAGGAGATGCCTGTGCACAGTGAAATTTGAGAAGCTTTGAATTAAAATGAAAATTGCAAGTTGACAATTGGGTCTGTTGGGATCATCCAGTGGAAGCCTTGTCAGCATCTGTGGCTGGGGCACATTAGCCTTCCTTAGGACCTGGTACATTTGAGGCATTCTGCTGAAAACCTAGGCACATGATTGACAAAGACAGCCTGAGACCCAAAGAGAGACAGTCTTTGAGGAGCACTGGCTGTCTGGGGCTCCTGGCTCCCCTGCTGCCATGCAAGTAGAAAGCTGGAAAAAGATGCCTCCAGCCAGTGTAGACAAAAACTATTTACATCCAGACAATGGAGCTAGAAGCCTACTCTCCAGGAGGTTGGTGCCGGTGCAACCCTAAAAACAATCTGAGAACTGTTCTCAAACTCCCTCTACTGACAGAATTTATAATTGTGCTGCTGGGAAAGAAACTACTTAAAAGATCTACATCCACTTTCACAGAGCAGGTAATGAAGTGTGTTAGGGAATTGATCATGTTAAAGTATGCTGTGACGCTGCCTCACGGGCTGCATTCTCCTGGTATATCTTGGCTCCTAAAATGACCTCATGCCCTTATCTCTGGTTACCCTCCCCCTCAAGACCACAGTGGTCCAGGAAGTAGAAACCTGTGTCTGCAGGACTGGGCCCATAAAAGCAATCTGGCCTGTGATAGGTTAAAAGTAGCTCACTCCTCATAAATAAATAGCCCACCCCAAAACTGATAAAAGGACCTTCTTTTCTTTGTTCTCTCCTTCTGCTTCTTCCTCCTCCTCTCTCTCTCTCTTTCTCTGCCTTCCTGCCTCCTGCTCGCCTCCCTACAATAAAGATCTCCTGCCGGATCTCTCGGTGCTTGAGTGGCCTAATTGGGAAGGGGCACCCGAAACCCCTTTCAAAGTGTGTGTTAATTACTTTTCTCATTGCTGAGACAAAATCTGATACCCAAAGTTAATAGGGGATGGTTTATTTAGCTCTAAGGTAGGGTGGCACATGGCAAAGGGACAGCAGTTCATGGCAGACTGAAGGTAGCAAAGAAACACTGGAGCTTTCTGCCCCTTTTATTTTAACCAGGCTACTGGGATTAGAACAGTGCCAAACCAATCAGTGGAGTGATTTAGTAATCACACCCTTATTTCCAGCATCACACACTCTAGATTTAGCCACCTCTGAAAAAGCCCTATGACCCCATGAGGCTTTGGAGTGTGGGACCTAAATTACAAGCCCTTGGCTAAATGGCAAAGGGCCTAGGAGACAGTGTCCTGAACCCCTCCCATTGTAGCCACAGCCCCGACCTTTGTTCCAGCCCTGGCCTAAGAATGTGTATCACTCTTGTATTGTTTGAAGTCTGGATCTGAATCTACCTGTACATTAGAGACTCCAGACATAGAGCCCAAAGTTAATTGACAATCTGTTTGCTCATCGGGAGTGTTTTGGTGACCTTTGAGACATCCTATGGGTGGTACCTGTCACTCATCAATATGTGACTGTTGAGCATGTGACTGCTGACCACCAGCTCAAGTCAGCAGACCTTTGTCCCCTGTCTGTAAGCCCAAAAATGTTAACCTCCTCTTTTACTCCCTATAAGAGGACCTCAGCCCCTGAGCTAGGCACCTCTCTGAGCCAGCCACTTGGTTCTGAGAGTGCTGTCTGGCCAGACTAATAAAGGTCTTTTACCATCTAGCCTGGTGTGTTCCTTCCTGGGTTTCTCGTTCCTCCATAGAGCTCACGGAGCCTCATTGGGCTTTAGGGCCCAACATTGCAAAGGCCTTTTGGGCTGTTTGCGCTCCGTGGAGTGGAAGTGAGACTTTTAAGTCTTACAGGAGGGACATCCAGAACAAACCATAACATTCTGCCCATATTCCTCCACACACGTAAGACTCATGCATATCCCTTTATGCAAAAGGTATTTAGTCCATCCCTAAGAGTTGCCAAAGTCCTAATGTAAGACTTAAATTCTCACTTTCACTGCACGGAGCGTGAACAGCCAAAAGGGCCTTCACGATGCTGAGTCCTATGGCCCAATGATGGCTCCGGAGGCAAGACCCAGGGCCTTACTTCCGAAAGCAGTGAACAGCCAAAAAGGCCTCCACGATGCTGGGCCCTAACACCCAGCGAGGCTCCTGGAACTCGAGGGAGAAAGGAGAAACCCAGGAGAGAACACATCAGGCTAGATGGTAAACAGACCTTTATTAGTCTGGCCAGACTGCACTCCCGGAGCCAGGTAGCTCAGAGAGGCAACTGCTCAGGGGCTGAGGTACTTTATAAGGTTTTTTCTAAACAAAGAGTCAGGGAATTCACAGAACAAGACTGCAAACATTGCTTATCTCATGCAGGAAAAGTTCTAAGGTCACCTTTTGTCATACCATTTGCCCCTGGGCAGGCTGTTAACCAAGGTAGCAATTAGCATATGAAGAAGCACAGTCTGGCCTATTAGCATGGAGTCACTTTAGCTTATTCAAGTCTTACACTAACAATTTCAGCATTGCTGAAAAGTCCCATGTCCAAATTTTTCTCTGAGATTTAGGGCATAATTTTAGCTCTAAGAAAGATAAACACTTCCAACATTCAATGGCACAAGATAGACATTTCCATTCCAAAGGTTTCAAATGGGGATAGCAAATATTAGAGTAAACTGAGGCATGAGTATGACCACTCAAGCAGGCAAAAGTGAAGCAACAAGTGTTTTATTTCCAGCCTGGGTGTAGCTAAATCAAGGGTGGTAAGAGGGTTAACTCCAGGGGCTTAGGCAAGAGGAAACATAGGAGTTTGAATAGGGGCAGTGTGGTGCTAGGCGGAGTGGAAACTTTTTGTTTTGGAATGGAGGAAGTCTTTTGATCTGGGGCAGAGGGAGTCTGGTGGTCTCCAGGAGTATCTGGACCTGTAGATGTTGCTTAATGGGGTGGGCTGTTTATCTCGAACCTAGGCCTTGGCTTCCTGTTATCTTTTGTGCCTTGCAGGATGTGTAACTGCATTGCCTGGAAATTTTTTCTCTTCTGCCTGGGCAGGGCTCTGACGTTCTGTTCTGTCTTTCTGTTATAGAAGAAAAGGGAAAGAGGGAAGAGGGAGAAGGGGAGATTGTGTATAGTTTCTCATAGCAGTTTCAAATGTGTCCAAGTGGGCTGTGTGGACATCCTATCAGCAAAAAGGGGCAGGGGAAGGTAATGGTTCAGTTAATTAAATTTTTTTTCAGGGGTTGAAGATCGGGTCTTGTGGCAGGGCTGAGAAGCACGAGGTTAGTAAGAGCTGCCTAGTTGGTTATGGCTTGGATTTGGCCTTGAATAAAGTTTGAGAGGTTTTTAAAGGCAGAGCCCAAAGAGAAGGATCATGATAATTATGCCCAGGGGCCCTATTATGGGCAGAGGAGCCAAGTGACCCTTGAATCCCCTAGGCTCCTCCAGAGGGGTGTGTTTTGTTTTTCTAGGCTGTTGGCTTGTTTTTTTAGGTCTCCTACCACTTCTTGGATAATTCCTGATTGGAATTTGATAATCCCTGTTTTGTAGAAACAGCATTCTCCTAAGAAGGAATAGATTCCTCCCTTTTTGGCAGTTAAGAGGTCTAGTCTGCTCCTGCTTTGGAGTACTAGGTAAGATAGGGAATCAAGCTGAGCTTGGAGGGTAGTGAGGTTGTCTGAGATGCATCTTAAACCTTTTGTTATTTCTTGTGAAAGTGAATTATAATGAGGTAGGTTGTGAATCCTACAACTCCTGTGCCAGTTCCTGTGCACATTCCTACTAGAAGTGGGATTAAGAAGGGGGCTGCTCAGTGTTGTCTGTTCTTAGTGATTGGAATCTGGTCCTTGTTATATGGGGTTATATCTATCCTGAAGTTAAGGTATGTTAGTGTGCAGATACCTGTCCAGTTGTTTGCCAAGCACCATTAAACTGAAGAGCCACACAACCAGGAGGCAAGAGGAAAGACACTATGTACTGCTTACCTCGTATTTGAAGCTAAGGGACTGGGCTGGTTTGGGTTTGTGCCAGTACTGCAGGGTGTAAAATAGGATTGTGGTGGTAAAGGGAGGGGTATGAGGACAGGGGAGGGTAAGAAACATTTGTTATTTTGTTTTCCTAATAGAGCCAGAAGTCAATTTGGTTTAGTGGGAACCTCTGAGTGATTTTTTTTTTTTTTTTTTTACTGGAAATGTCACCTAAGAACATTTTTCATGACCAAAGGTAGTTTATTTTTTTTTTTTTTTTTTTAATCTGGAAATGTTAAGTACTGAACGGACTTTAGAGAGAGAGAGAGAGAATAGGTACTAGGGTGGCAGAGTATGGGGCCCTTCTTGATGGCATCAGTTTTTATTCTTTGCAGAAAAAAGAGTTATCATCTAGGAGACCTTTTGTAGATAGTGGGTTTTGTAGTTTCATATAGCTTCTGGAAGAGGGGGCAGGTGGCCGAGTGGCATAGTGTTTCAAAAGTAAGTAGTCTGATCCAGGGTTTGAGTTGTATTTGATTCGTCTCAGTGATTGGGGGCTTGGATAGACAGAGTA